ATCATCCACTGAGAACCCTGTGAGCACAGTTCTACTCTAACACACACAGGCACCATGAGTGGGATCTACTTATGAAAAATTATCCACTGAGAACCCTGTGGGCACAGTTGTACTCTGACACACACGGGGGGCCATGCATCAATCAATTCAACAGCAACTGGGTCAACTTGTGTACCAAGGGAATAATGGCTTTCAAAAGAGCCCCATCTCACCTCGTGTTTGGGGGAAGGGTCTCTGTCCACTTCCTGGAGATTTTCGAGGAGAGGCAGGACGTGGCTGTGATAAATACTCCACCAGAGATTGAGAAACGCCAGCTGGTGTGGGAAGTCTGAGCCGGAGCCGTCGTCCACGACTGAGCCGGTCTGCCTGTTGTACTTGTAGCTCCAAGGTTTGGCCGACCCCAAGAAATGGACCACTTTGGCACCAGAACCAAACCTGAGAAGACAACACAAATGGTTCCGTGTCTGCCTGGGATGTGATGAGAGCATCACTGAAACTGTCCACTTGGGAAAGTCCCCAGAAAGGAGTCTGCTGATTGCCGTCTGAGTCACGGTCAGTCTGCAGGACAGAGCGGAACTGTCCAAGTCGGTCACTATTGGATTGTCATCGTTATCTGACGTCTCCCATGGAGTGGGCTCGAACACTATGAGTGCAGGACCACGCCGTGTTTCATTTTGCTGTGCGTGGCATTGCTATGATTTAGCACTGATGCCAGTCAGCTAACAACAGACCTGCAGCCAAGCATTTAACCAGGAGTGGAATCTCCTTGTGATTCATTTAACCAGGAGTGGAATCTCCTTGTGATTCATTTAACCAGGAGTGGAATCTATTTGTGATTCAGCACCAGCCCCAAGACCAAAGCTGTTTCCAGCGAGTTGACTCCAACTCACAATGACCCTGGAGAACAGACTAGACATGACCTATAAGGATTCCTCAGCTGAAAATATTTAAAGAAGACTGCCTCATCTTTCTCTGTCGGAGCAATGGATGGGTTTGAACACTCGACCTTGCTGTTAGCAGCCCAACGCTTAACCCATGGCACCACCACGTTCCTATTGGTAGCCATTGTGAAGGTCACCCTGAGTGGTACTAGACGGCTACCAGGAAGGTTGGAGGTTCCAAGAAAGGGCTGGCAATCTGCTCTGGGAAGGTCACAGCCAAGGGAGCTCCAGGGAGCACACACGAAGTGATCAGGAGTGCAGTCTGTGCTGTCTAGGACAAGCTGGACCAAGGTGACATTGTGTCTGAGGAGGCGTCTTCTGAGAGGGAGAGGGTGCCGACGGACGGGTCGAGGCTGGGAGTGTGCGGGAGCGAGGACTCACTGTCTGAAGGCAGGGCTGTAGGTGTAGGCAGTATTACTGCTGAGGTTATAGATGAAAGGTAAATGCTTCTGGATGTCAGCCGTGGGCCAGCTGCTGAAGAAACTGTTCAGCAAGCCCTGATCTGCCCCTAGATGGATAATAAACGCCAGTAAGCAGTATAGACATGACAGTACAATATCAGAAGCACCCCCTCCTGCCAGACTGTGGTGTGGCTTGCATGGTTCTGTGATGCTGGAGGCTATGGGACTGGTAGTCCCAAAACCAGCAGGGGCACTCAGGGTATACGGGTTTCAATAGAGCTTCCAGACTAAGACTAGGAAGAAAGGCCTGGAGATCTACTTCTGGAAACCATGCCATGAAAACCCTGTGGATCCTAATAGAACACTGTTCAATAAAGTGCTGGAAGTGATGTCATTAGTATTCCAAATCCCAGCAGGGTCACCCAGGGTGGACAGGTTTCAGTGGCGCTTCCAGACTAAGAGAGACTAGGAAGAAAGTCCTGGAGATCTACTTCTGGAAACCATGCCATGAAAACCCTGTGGATCCTAATAGAACATTGTCCAATAAAGTGCTGGAAGCGATGTCATTAGTATTCCAAATCCCAGCAGGGTCACCCAGGGTGGACAGGTTTCAGTGGCGCTTCCAGACTAAGAGAGACTAGGAAGAAAGTCCTGGAGATCTACTTCTGGAAACCATGCCATGAAAATCCCCTGGATCCTAACAGAACATTGTCCCATACAGTGTTGGAAGTTACTCAGAATCTATAGTGGTTGCAGCCGGGAAATCGAGCAGAGCAGTGATTTTTGAGTCTGTCACGGGGCTGGGCAGTATTTGGTCTGTGGCTGGTAGTAACAGGGTGGGATTCTGTCTATTCAGCCATGATCTTGTATCTCACTAGTCCACTCAGTGAGGTGCCCAGCTCACAGTGACCCCAGGCACAACAGAACGAAATGCAGCCCGGCCCTGTCACCCTCACAATTATTGGTCTCCTTGATTCGATGACTAATGAAGGTCAGACCCTTGTGAATCACAGGGTTTTCGTTTGCTGGTGCTCAGAAGTGGCGTACCAGCCTTTTCTTTGGAGGCACCTCTGGGTGAATTTGAACCTCCAATTGTTTAGTGAGCAGCCAAACACTTGACCTTTGTGCCACCCAAGGACTTTGTGTATTTATGTATTTACATATATATGTGTGCATGTATGTATACGAGGGAGAAAGATGAGACTTTCTGTCCACACAAAGATCAGCCTTAAATATCTGACCATGGGGGCCGGCAGGGGCTGGATCTTGAGGGACAACAACCCCACTCTCGGCTGCAAACCCCCTAGCCCCCCGTTTACCATCAAAGCTTCCGTGGTTGGTGGCATGATGCAGCAGACGGCTGTGTGTCTCCAGGGAAGGCTGGAATACAAACACCCCGCTGTTGAAGCAATCGGGCCACCCTGGGTCCGGGGCTGCGGACAGCTCGGTCCTGTCAAACAGCTCGTCGATGTTGGATAGCACCTGTCCGTGGAAAACACACTTGTCTTCTGCAGGTATCATAGTAAGAAATGAAATGGGAACCCAGACTGGGACAGGTATTTCAGAACCTGGAATTCTTCCCTCCGGACATCAATATTTTAAAGAGCCCTGGGGGACGGGGGAACTGTGGACAGTTATATGATGATGTCATTGGGCAGTTACACAATGATGTAATCATCCCCAGAAAAGAGAACTGAGAAGAGAGAGATGGACCTATCCCCACCAAGAAAGAAAAGACACGAGAGAATCAAGTCCTTTAGACTCGGGGTTCCTGTGCTAAGAACCTCCTACACCCAGGGGAAGACTGATGCCAAGATACAGGAAGATCTGCAGGAAAAACTGGGTCCACACATGTTGAAAACAGAGAGGGACCTCCCCGCACAAGCTTCGTCTAGAAACAGCCCTGGATTCACACCTGTAACCTCCTAAACTGTGAGAAAATAACTGTCTGTTTGTGAAAGCTCCCCCCTTGTGGTGTTTTGGTCATAGTAGCACTGGACAAGGGAGACAGCCTTGAACTCACCAGTGTGTCTGCATCCAGAAACACACATTTGCTGTACTGGGTGAGGGTCCAGCAGTGGAGTTTGGTGAGGCTGACGCCCAGCTCGGGTCTCCTCATGAAGGCCAGGTGGATGTAATCGGCGCTGTGGATCACGGTCACGTCGATGACCTCATCGAACACCCTGGAAAGCACAGTCCTGGAGAGAGACACCCAAGGGATACGAGGAGGGAGGGCGAAACACACACCAGGATCCCCAAACTTCTTCAAGGGGACGCCGCAGACAACAAAGAACAGAACCGTGAGCTCACTCCACACCTGCGATGGATGCAGATGTAGCCCCCAAATTAACCCACTGGATTCCGACTCAGAGCCACCTTGTAGCACAGAGTATAAGAAGGACAAACAGATAGCCTCACATGCCTGTGAAACTCAGACAATTAATAATGAAGACAGGAGAAGACTCGATGGATGTGAGCTATGGTGTTGGAGGAAAATATTGAAAGTGCCATGGACTGCCAGAAGAACAAACAGATGTGTGTTGGAAGAAATACAGCCAGAGTGCTCCTTGGAAAGCAGACTTCATCTCTCATACTTGGGACATGCTATGAGGAGGGACCAGTCCCTGGAGAAGGACATCATGTTTGATAAAGTGGAGGGTCAGAGAAAAAGAGGAAAACCCCCAATGAGATGGATTGGCCCAGTGGTAGCAGCAATGGGCTCAAGTGTAGCAGCGATTGTGAGGTTGTAGCAGGACTGGGCAGTGTTTCGTTGTGTTGTGCACAGTATCACTGAGTCAGTTGGAATGGACCTGATGACCCCTAACAACAACACGGAGAGCTGAACTGCCCGATAGGATCTCTGAGAATGGCCATTATTAGGAAAGCAGTTAGCTTCGTCTATGTTCCAAGGAGCGGCCGGTGGGTTCGAACCGCTGCCGAGTTTTCTGTTCTCAGTCCAGCACTTAACCCACGACGTCACGCCAGTTCTTTAATCCCCCCAAGATGTGAGTTGTCACCTCTAACTGTGGTACCCGTGGATGGGTTCCCATTCTGGAACGGGATTGTCTTCGTTACGTGACTGAGACCACACAGGCTGACAATTAGGATCATCCTTGGTTGTCCTTTTTTAAGTTTTTTAATTTTATTACGAATCAGGTGAAAGTTGAAAGAGCAGATCAGTTTTCCACCCAACAACGCTCCCACATTATGTTTCATCTCAATGATGACAGTTGCTACGTTGAAACGTCCCTTTCC